TTTTTCTAGGGGTGGTGAAGCACACCTGTCTCTTTCTCTGAATTTTTTATATTTCCTCAAAGTTGAGTCCAGCTTGCTCCTCATGGGCAGCAGGCAGAACCATTGTCACCTTCACAAGGAAAAAGCCCTCTGAAGTGGCTCATTAAGCACAAGACAACTGAGTGTGGCTTTGCAAATGTGAGAGGAAGGGAAGAATAACCTCCTAGAGGAGTTTCCAATGAGAGACGTGCTGCAGATAAGCTCTTTTCTCCAGAGATTTTTCCTATGCCCACTGTCGGGTCACACAGCTTGTGCACACTGTGCTGTTCTCCAGATTAGACTGGAGACTTTTATGAAACTTTGCTGGGCAGTTGGTGCCCTGAGCTCTGCAGGGTTAGGCCAGACCTGCTCAGTGTGGGGAGAAGTTTTGCATTGCTTTGCTTTGAACCTGGTTGGGTTCAGAGCTGGTGGAAGGAAGAAGGGTCTGGAGCCCAACTGGGGTTTTCCCACACGGAGGATTTAGCTCCAGCAGAGATGGGTGATGCAACTGAGGCTGGGCTGCATGTTACAGTCTCCATGTGAAAATGCAGGATGGGTACAAGGCATGGAAACAATGGTCCTGGAGGATGAATCTTTGGCTTGATCCGTAGGAGAGCTACTGTGCTAGCAGTGTCACCTGCGTGCACGTTTGTTAGGAGGGGCCTAGAGCTGGCTTTAAAATCCAGTGTGGGCCGGCGTGCTTTATCCTGCTGATAAGCAGGGAAGGAGCTGCTTCTGGGAAGCAGTGCTGCTAGTGCCCAGCAGGCTGGGGGACAAGTGCCATGTCCCTTCCAGGGGGGCAAGGCTGTGCCCATTGGGGTGGAAGGTACCTGCTTGCTTCTCACAGCCCTGCTGATACATCTGTCTCCTCTACAGGTAAAAAGGGTGCTCAGGCCAAGAAAACTGAGCCCAGCCCTGCGGACAAAGCCAACCAGAAGACTTTCAGTGCTGGACCCCAGAGTGCTTCAGCAACCAAGGATATGGCATCCGACAAACCCCAGGCAAGATTTTCAGTGACCTCCAAGGTGAAACATGATCTGCGCTGGGACCTTCCTGTTGCCTTTGAGATGGGAAGGGGCTGCTTACAGTGGAGGCTCCATGTCGCCAAGGGCCTGGTGCAGGGTCTACAGTGCCAAGAGCCAGCTGGGACGGGAATGTGCTCTGGCAGAAAAGCACCATTGTTTCTTAATGGTTTGTGGGCAAAGTGTATTCCTGGCTAACTTGACTGCAGGCGGCGAGCAAAGCTGTGGGAGGCTGTGCCGGGAGCTTGCAAGCTTGGGTCTCTGCTGGCCAAGGGACGGGCCCTCCAGGGTTGTCCCCTGCAGCTGCCAGGGTTGCCCTCGTCTCTACTAGTGAGGAAGCCCAGATCCGAACCTAGCCGTGGGAACTGTCCAGGGCTTTCTGCAGGGGTTTATTTTCCTTACCATGCTCCACATTGCAGATGGCAGCCGTTTCCTGCGCCACCGCTCCTGCGCCACAGCAACTGACCATCCTCACCAGGACAGGGAGAAAGGAGAAAAAGAGGAAGTTTTGGAGCTGTGTGCTGCCCGAGGAATTGCTGGTGGAAATCATCTCTGAACGGCTGCAGGTACGTGGCGTGGGGGAAACGGAGATGTTCCTGTGCCAGAGAGACAGGCAGTGAGAGACAGCTCAGAGAGGAGGAGGAGGTCTATGCCTGCTGCTGGAGGATCCTGTGCTGCATGCAGGGATCCTTGGGGGAAGCTGCAGATGCCCTAAGTTGACAGAGTGTAGTGCAAGATCCAAGCTGGTTGTAGCTAATGCACTTGGAATGCCAGTGGCTGGTGTCCTGAGACATCTGCATTTACTGACCAGCTGTGAGCCCAGCGTGTGCGATGGCTGACTCGCTGTTCCTGTTTGTCTCTCCTGGCAGCTGAGTGACTGCTACAAGGGAGTAGTGTTTGATGGCCTGGAGACCCTCTTTGCGAGCAGCCTGGCATCTTCTCTCCTGTGCGTGCTCAAAGCTGTCAGCAATCGCCCTCATATCCATGTTGTGAACATCTTCCAGGATTCTGAGTTTTGGAAAGGCAGGCAGATAGCTGCAAGAGAGAGGAGGGCAGCTAAAAAACAGCAGAAAGGTGAAATATCTCCATCCGTCTCAAATGTCTCTCAAGCCCTCAACCTTAGCTGTGTGTATCTGGGTTTGCAGCAGAGCTTGTAAGAAATCTTTTTATTGATCCTTCCACCTTCTGCCTCAGTATAGCCAGCACTCAGCTCACAGCTTCTTTAAATACAGCAGAGCTGAGGCTGTAAGACTCACCTTAATCTCAGTCATTAAAGCTTGGGTGCAAGTGCAAGCTGGCGTGGCTCAGTGACTAACCCTCAGCCAGCTGTCCACAGCCATGGTGCACCTGAGCCAGGCCACAGTTTGGGGGGCTGTCTGAATTCTGGAGCAGGGATGTGAGCTCCGCAGTGTCTCCTGGCAGGGTGAGAGGCTGGGTCAGGAAAGAGCTGTGAATCCTCATAGCTGACCCAGAGCCCCAAGCTCTGCTTACAGTCACTGATGGCTTCTCTTGTGGTCTGTGCTGAAGCATGGGAGAAGGAAGAAGCTGCCCGGAGAGAGGAAGAACGTCTCTGGGATGTGGATGTGGATGAGTACGAAGCCCTCCCTGAGAAGCAGAAAGCTCTGCTTGATTACAAAATTGAACAAATCAAGCGTGAGTGGAATGAGAGGTAAGTAAACCTCCTCTGGGTTACTCCTCAGAGTAGTGTCCCTGGAGGGTTTCTCTGCTCCAAGGACCTTGGTTGAGCTCAGAGGGGTTCAAGAGCAAAGGCCAGAAGCAGCACAAGGATGGCCAGGTCCAGGTCCCCGGTTCCCAAGAGAGGAAGGACCTTCCTCTGTTGAGATGAGAACGTCTTCTCTCCATTTTAGCTGTGAGCCCTCTGGCTTAGACATGGCTTGCGGGGAGCTGAGCTCTGGGCTTGCCTTGCCACTGCCCACAGAAGTGTCTCAAAGTGTGTGATGTTGATTCTCATCTTCTTCATCATCCTTCTTCTTCACCAAACCAGCAGGATTGTGGTGTGGGCTGGTGTGGGACACAGCTGTGCTGGCTTGCTTTCACCCTGGTCCTGCTATAGATGAAGTCCTTGCAATGCTGATCTGCCAGGGCTTTCCTTAGGGTGGAACACCATCCATAAAAGCTTAGGCTGCCCTTCAGCTGCAGCAGCAGGTGAACCCGGGAGAAGCTCTGGCCCAGCAAGGCAGCCCAGCTCAGGAGGACGCACAGGAAGAGTGTGGAGCTGGGAGGGGAAGCTGCTTAAAGCAAGCATGTGTTTCAGCACTTCTCTCAGCCCAGGCTGATGTTTGTTGCACTGGGAGGAGATGGCCAGGACTGCTTCAAATCGGTTCCCAGGACAGACAGCACAAGTGTGCCCTGGTCACAGTTGTATTCCAGCAGGAAACCTGGTGGTTCAGAGCCTGATTTGCAGGAGGGGACTTTCTGCAGCCTTTGCTTTCTGATTGCTATGATTATTCTCATTAATGAGCAGGCTCTGCCCAGGGAGAAGGGGGCTGAAGGAGCCAAGTAAGCATTGGAGGAGGGATAAATAGGTGTTAGCAATTTATGGGCAGGTCTAAACTGGGAAACCAAGAGAGGGAGGGCTTCAGTCATCACTGCAGAGAGATGGTGGATCAGCCTTTGGCAGCGTGCTGGAGGTGTCCGGGTGGACCTCAGGGGAGAAGTTGCATAGTTGATGCATTATGATGGCAGGGCTTAGGTTTGGCCCAGGAGGTTGCCTCCCACCCTTCCTCACTTGGGATGTTCCCAAGCTTTCTGGGTTGAGGAAGGTCCACAGTGATGGTCTAACAGTTCTGCCTGGCCTCAGGGTCAAAAGAGTGAAGGGCAGAGCCAGCTGGGATTACAGTGAGCGCAGGTTTCTGGTGGTGACTCTTGGGGGTGTTTTCTCTTTGGCTTGCAGAAGGGAGCTGGAGTGGCTGGCTCGAGAGCGTGAGGAAAGCAAAAAGATGTTGTCACGAGACTCAAAGAAGCAAGATAAGCTGCAGAAGAAGAAGAATGGCTGCTCGGTGAAGTTTAAGCTACCTGCAAAAGAGCAGCAGCAGGAAACCAAAAGCCCAGAGGTCCGGATGAAGAGCAAAACAACAGCAGCAAAACAACAGCAGCAAGAAACCAAAATCTCAGAGGTCCCGAGTAAGCATGAGAGGATCTTGGACCTGAGGTTTAACATCTATGAGTCTTCACAGAAGAGGATCAGACATATTCTGTCATCCTGGGACAGGGTTCAGGGTATCATGAACCAAGTGCCAGACAAGTCCCAGTCTTCTCCTAAACACAAAGATGAGAAGAAGAGCAGTAAGTCTCCGGAGAAGGCAGAGAAGAAGCCTCTAGAAAAACATGGCAGCCACAAGAGTCTTCAGTGGGACGGGGAAGTTGCAGAAGGCTCAGTCGGAAGCCAGGATGCCGGAGTGCCCTGCTTGGACTTCCACATCACGCGTCGTGAAAAGGTGTTTAGGAGGATCCTGAAGAGCAAGAAGCTGCCACCAGCAAAGCAGGTAAAGCCTGCAAGGCTCAGATGCTGAACTTGCCATGGTCTGGGGCCCTGGAACAGTGTGTCCCCCAGGTGATAACAACACAGAGCCTTGTCGAGGCCACTGATGATGTTCCACAATAGCTCCGCAGTATCTCTGTGGATGGGGAGGTTCTCAGCCTCCCTCAGATGTGTGGAAAGTGGGAGTGCTCTGTGTCCAAGCATCCCATCTATTCAGAGAGTTTCTCAGTCTGGAAATCATTAAAAACGGTCCCAGGGCAGGGCAGCTCCCAGGCATTGTTCTCTTCAGCTGAGTCACTTGGGAGAGGTCTCTCTCTTGGTCCCACTGTAGGTCCTACCTCTGCTCTGGAGCCTGCTAACCCACTGGGCATAAAAAAGCACTTGTACTCCATATAAATCAAAAACTCCACTGCCAAAAGCTCAGGGCCTTTAGGGAAGGAGTGTGAGGATGAAGGTGACAGGAGTATAAACAGGCTTTTCTCTTTGGTTTTAGATCCTGCACTCTCTGGGACTGGGACCTCCCATTCCCCCTGGCTGTCTTTTCTCCGTGGTCCCCTACCCAGAGGAGGACAGAGTCTCCACAGCAGCACAAGACCTCAGACACTTCATCCTTGTTGAACCTGAAGGTGCTGCTGCAGAAGATGATGTGGTGGGTATTCCTTTTGTGCCTTCAGTGAAGGTGCCAGCGCAGGGGACAGGTTGGATCGAAAAGGGTCACCGTGGAGGGGCAGTGAAGATGTGATGGGGCCCCATGTCTGCAGGCATCCTTTCCACCAGCGATGAGGGAAAAGAGACAGCTCTGCTGGAGACATAGAGCAGTTCTGTTAGACAACAGGAAAAAAAATCACTTAAACCCATCAACTTGCCTTGATGAGAGAGTCCTCGGTGGGGAGAGGGTCCTGGGTAAGGAGGGGTGTCCGAGGCAACACAAAGGCCAATAAGGAAGACCAAGTCCATGGGCAGTGGTGATTATTTATTCTCTCTCCTGTTGGCTAACAAACCCCATTCTGCTTTCCAGGTGGGGGGGTGTCTCTCCCTTTCTCTCTCCCTTTATGCCAAGGCCCCAGAGGCAGAGGCACAGGACCACTTGAAGGAGGGGAAAGCCACGAGCAGACACAAGTCTAGCAAGGAAAAGCAAAACACCCCCCAGAGCCCAAAAAGTCTCCGTGATCACTCCCCAGAAACACCCAGAAGTTTACCTGAGTCAAAGAAAAGCCAACTGCAGAGTGACTCAACCCTCGAGAGACCTGCCAGGTGAGCTGCAAGGCAGGAGGTGATGCCTGTGCTTCATGCTCATCTTGCCAAACAAGGTCCATCGTCCTCAGCTCCACAGCGACCCTCTGCCAGTGCCTCCATGGGATGGCGAGTGCACAGCCCTCCTCCTTGTCTCGTTTGCCCCTTAGCAATGTCTGAAGCTTCCTTTTTAACTGCCAGGCTGAGAAGGTTCCGGTGGATTGTTCCTGCCCACAGTGAGGTGGAACTGAAGATCCACTTCAGCACCACAGTGCCAGGGCAGTTTGACCAGATGATGAACTTTGAGATCCTGGGGTCAAAGCGCCTGTACCAGTTGCCCTGCAGTGCCACTGCCCTGTACCCCAGCATCAGCCAGAACCCACGGTAAGGCTGGGCCACAGGAGCATCCCATACTGCTCCCCCCGACCTCGGAGCCAGGGCTGCCCCTTGTGACCTTCTGGCTGGGGCAGATGGTGCTGCCTGAGTCACCCAGCATCCCTTCCTCTGCTGGGAACTGGGAGGCTGAACTGGTACCTCAGCCACCGATAAGGGTGATGGCTTTTTGACTAGATTTCTTACTTGCAGCATCTCAGAGCTCCTCATTCTCCATTTTTTCTCTGCCCAGGCTGGTGTTTCCTCACTGGAGGAAGAGCAAGGAGAAGGAGGACATCATCTTCAAGGAGTATGTCATGAGCACAAAGCAGTTCCACTTTGGACCGCTGCTTTGTGGGAAGTCAAGAGAGTGGTATGTGCTCCCTGCTCCCAAGTGAGCATCCCTGTGTGCTGCCTGTACAGACTGAGATGTCGGGAGGGGATCTCCAGGGATCCTTTTTCTTCACCTGTTTGTTAGACCATGGTCTTCCAGTGCCACCTCCTGCTGCTGGCACACGGTGCTTTCCTCGGTGTGTGATGAGGGCAGCAGTCTCCTCTGCAGCCTTTTCCCCTTCTGTGGACAGGTACAAGGCACAAAACTGCCCCGGTAACAGCGAAAAGTTAACCATCCTCAACGACTTCCCCATGGAGGCAGAGGTGCATTTCTCCTTTGAGAACGACAGTAAAGGAGAGACATTCCTTTTGGACCCTCCCAGCATGAGGCTGCAACCCAAAGAGAAGAAGGTAGGAGGTGAGCAGGTAGGGCAGGCACTGTAGAAGTGCTGTTCCTCCTGCTCACAGAGGGCTCTTTGTATTTCTGTTTGTGGGGACGGGTTCAGAAGCTGAGTATTTGGGCGTACCCTACTTCCACTGGCCTCCTGGAAGACAGTCTCGTCTGCTGCATCAGGGACAACCCGGAGCCAGTGGTCTTCCAACTGTGCTGCCAAGGGGTGCAAGTGAAACTGGGGGTCAGCCCCCAGGAGCTGCGTTTCAACAAGCTGCTTCTGCACAGGTCAGTCATCCCACGGCTGAGGGCACTCCAAGGCTTGTGACAAAGAGAATAGGTTTGACTCTGGTTCCAGAGGCTCAGATGGAGCTGCTTCGAGCTGCATTCAATGGCCAGGCTAGTGTGACCACTGAGCACTGATGCTGAGCGTCTTCCTGTCTCTGCAGGGCTCACACCCAGACCCTGGTCCTGAAAAACGACAGCCCACTGCCCATGGCATGGCATCTCAGTGGACTGCATGACCTTGGCGATGACTTCTCTGTATCACAAGGCAGGGGCATCGTTGGCCCCCGCAGAGACTTCGAGGTGAAGCTGAATTTCAAGGCCGAGAAGATTGGCATCATGAATAAGATGATCCGACTGGAGGTGAGAGGGATTTGCGCCTTCCTGGCAGAGCAGGGCAGAGCAAGCAGCCATGTGCTCTTAGGGATAGAGTCAGGAAGAGCTGCACCTGACAGACACGGGGGTGCTGTGGCCCCAACTTCTACCTCTGTGCTGGGTTGGCCNGTCTTCCTGTCTCTGCAGGACTGACACCCAGACCCTGGTCCTGAGAAACGACAGCCCACTGCCCATGGCATGGCATCTCAGTGGACTGCATGACCTTGGCGATGACTTCTCTGTATCACAAGGCAGGGGCATCGTTGGGCCCCGCACAGACTTTGAGGTGAAGCTGAATTTCAAGGCCGAGAAGATTGGCATCACGAATAAGATGATCCGACTGGAGGTGAGAGGGATTTGCACCTTCCTGGCAGAGCAGGGCAGAGCAAGTAGCCATGTGCTCTTAGGGATAGAGTCAGGAAGAGCTGCACCTGACAGACACGGGGGTGCTGTGGCCCCAACTTCTACCTCTGTGCTGGGTTGGCCAGGTACCCAGGCTCTGCATCCGGAGCCTGTACCACAGCCACCTTGCTTCTGTGCATGCTTGAAGGCTGTTGTTTGGTTGTACAGACCAACATTCTCTCTGGACCCTTTCTGGGATTTTTTTCCCTGTGGTTTAGAGGCTGCATTTCAGTAAGGATGCGAGGTGATTGAAGAGGAGGGCATTAATTGTCAATGCCACCTGCTCTGGGACACCTCACATTTCTTGTGGTTGTGTTTACATCCCTGGCCCTCTCAAGGGTGCTTTAGCAGCACCATTCCCTGCTGTGGGAGTGCAGAATTGGGCTGATAAGATTTCTTACTGCAGCAGAATCCCGCCGGGGCAGCCTGTGAGATGGACAGGTTAGGAAAGCTTGAGAGTCCACAAACACTTGTCAAGCCAGGGAGGCCATGGGGGAAGCAACTGGCAGAGACAAGGACTTAGAGGCTGTCTTCCAAAAGAATGGTCTAAGCAGTGTTTGTTTCTTGCTGCCTCAGGTTTCAGATACAGAAAACATCCTGGGCATTGTTCACGCTGAAACCATCAAAGTCTCTGTGGAGGTCTACGATGTTAATCTGAGCATCGACATGCCTGAAGGTCAGTGGATGCCTCCCAGACAACCCAGTCCGTGTGCATTTTACTACCTTGTCAGGTGGGCAACCAAAGCCCTTGGGAAGGGATGGCGTGACAGGCAAGGGTGGCACAGATATGTAAAGCACATACCTTGCAAGCTGTGTGAAGTAAAGCACTGTCAGGGCACCAACAGACTTGAGTCTCTCCCTTCTGAACTTTGAAATGTGCAGCTTCATGTGCAGATTGCATTTGGTGCTTTGAAACAAGTCATCTGTACAGGCAGTTGGCTCAGAACAGCACATAAAGTAGATGGATTTGTGCTTGGAAGCAAGGAAATGGAAACCAAGTTCCTTGGCTTCTACCCTGCAGATTCTTGGAGTAAGAAGAGAAAAGGCAACCAAGTAGCTAGAGAACACTTCTGAGAAGGGACATCCAAGAACTCCAACTATGTAGCTTGTGACCGAGTGTGCTCTGCAGCAGCTCACAAATATTCACCATTTCTTACCTCACTCTGTGGGTTTTCTACAGGTCCAGATGGCAGCTTGGAATTTGGAACCATTAATGTCCTGGATAATAAGAAGCACGTCCTGAGTCTGCAGAACAAAGGCTTATATGACATTGAGTACAGGTGAGTCCAGCTGCCTGGTGCTGAGCTTTTCCTCAGGCTCCCAGGCCTGCGTTCTCCCTCTGTCCATGGCTAGAACCTGTTCCCGTGCTGCTCCCTTTTCTTTTTTTTTCTGGTCCTATGCAAAGTGCTGGCTGTGCTGGTGGCACCTGTACTTTCAACTGCAGAGGTCTTCATTCTTTCCCTTTCTCCACAGTTTCAAGCTGACCACTGGAAGTGCCAAGAGGGGTGACTTGGAATCTCCCTTCACTGTCCGGCCGCAGAGGGCTGTGCTGAAAGCCTCCCAGCCACCTGTGAAAGTTGAGGTCCTCTTCCACCCCACGACTGAAGTGTTTCTCGAGAGCAAACCCATCCTGCTCTGCCAGGTGAGCTGCCTGGGCCCGGCTGTGTTAGCACAGTGTGTCTTGGGAGCATAAGCAGGAGAGGTGTCTTTGACAAAGAAGGCTTTAGTTGGGGCATCCTCTCTTTTACATAAACAAACAAAGACTTCCAAAACCATTTGGGAGGTTTTGTAAAAGAACTGGAAATCTGGCTCTGGAAGAGGCCTTTAAAAAGAGAGGGTGAGCTGATGGAGACCTGGGGTGGGGTCAGGGGACAGGGGTAGAGGCTGGCCTCTCTGCTGTGTTTACCAGCCCCTCCTCTGGTTGCAGGTCATTGATCTCAAATCGGGTCAAGGAGGCGAGACCGTTGCCACCATCCCAGTGAGGGTGTCGGCGAGAGCTGTGTACAGCAAGTACAGCATCGAGCCTGCCTCGCCCATCGACTTCGGTGCCATGGTTAAGGGCACCAAGAAGA